AATATATGATTTTCAAAAATTATGAATAGAAGTGGTACCGGCCACACTGATGAATAGAAACTATAGATGTATTCATACTGCATTCTGGTTTTTACAGATTTCTCTCTTTCTTTCTCTTTCTTTCCTCCCATCCTGTCTCCTCCCTTCCCCTTCCTCTTTCCCTCTCCCTCTCTCTCCCTTTGTTCCCTTCCTTCCTATCTTCCTTCCTTTTTGCAGTAAAAATGCACAAAATAAAATCTACTGTCATAACTTTTTTTTTAAAGATGCATTTACTTATTTGTTTTAGGGAGAGATAGAGTGTGTGTATGAGTCAGGAGAGGAGTAGAGGGAGAGAATCTTCAAGCGGAGTCCCCACTGAGCAGGGAGCCCCACTCTAGGCTCAATCGCAGGATCCATGAGATCACGAACTGAGCTGAAAGCAAAGGTAGATGTTTAACTAACTGAGCCACCCAGGCATCCCCTGTCCTAACCATTTGTAAATGTATAGCTCAGTAGTGTTAAGTATTTTTACATTGTTATGGAATAGATCTACAAAACTTTTTCATCTTGCAAAACTGAAACTCTATACTCATTAAACAGAAATTCTTCATTTCCCAACACTCCCAGCCCCTGGTAACTACCATTCTTCTTTCAGATTCTATGAGTTTGGTTACTCTAGATACCTAAATGCTCTAGATACCTCATATAAGTTAGACATACAGTCTTTTTGTGACTGTATTACTTTGCTTAGTAAAATGTCACCAAAGTTCATCCATGCTGTAACATGTCGTAATTTCCTTCCTTTTTTAAGGCTGAATAACGTGTACATACACACACACACACACACACACACACACACACACACACTACATTTTTGTTCATGCATTCCTTCATCAATGGACATTTGGGATGCTTCCCCTTCTTGGTTATTATAAATGATGCTACTTACTATAAACATAGATGTGCAAATAATGCTTTGTGATTCTGCTTTCAGTTCTTTTGGATACATGACACGAAGTGGAGTTGTGGATTATATGGTAGTTCTATTATTAACTTTTGAGGAACCACTGTACTATTTTTCATAGCTATTTTACAGCTTTAAAATCCCACCAACAGTGCACAGAGGTTTCAAATTCTTCATATCTTCAACAACACTTGTCATTCTCTATTATTTTGATAACAGTCATTCTAATGGTTGTAAGGTGATATTTCATGGCTTGGATTTGGATTTCAAATCAAAGCAATGTTGAGTGTCTTTTCATATGGTTGTTGGCCATTTGTATATCATCTTTCGAGAAATGCCATTTGAAATCCAACTCCACTTCTGAATCAAGTTTTTTGTTGCTGAGTTGTAAAAATTCTTTATATAGTCTAAATATTAATCCCTTATGAGATATATAATTTGTAAATTTTTCTCCCATTCTGTAAGTTGCCTTTTCACTTTGCTGATCATGTCCTTTGATGCACCAAAGTTTTTAAGTTTGATGTAGCCTTGTTTTTCTATTTTTGCTTTTGTTGTCTTTGCTTTTGGGGGCAGCTCTAAGAATTATTGCCAAATCCAATGTCATGAAGCTTTCCCTCCATGTTTTCCTCTAGGAGTTTTATAGTTTATGGTTTTGTGTTTAGGTCTTTAATCCATTATGAGTTAATTTCTTACATTTAGTGTAAGGTTAAAGCCTAAGTTCAACCTTGTACATGTGAAAATCCAATTTTCCCCATACCATTTATTAAAGTGATTGTCCTTTTTATCTTATTTTACTTTTTAAATTGTTAAAAAAGATTTTACTTATTTATTCATGAGAGACACACACAGAGAGAGGCAGAGACATAGGCAGAGGGAGAAGCAGGCTCCGTGCAGGGAGCCCAATGTGGGACTTGATCCTGGGACTCCAGGATCATGGCCTGAGCCAAAGGCAGATGCTCATCCACTGAGCCACCCAGGCATCTCAATGACTGTCCTTTTTAAAATAATATTTAGGGGGCACCTGGGTGGCTCCATTGGCGTTATAACCATCTGCCTTCAGCTTACGTTATGATCCAAGGATCCTGGCATTAAGTCCCGCATTGGGCTCCCTGCTCAGTGGAGAGTCTGTTTCTCCCTCTCTACCTCCCCCTATTTCATGCTCTCTCCCTGCCACTCATGAAAATAAATAAACAAAAAATCTTTTAAAAAATAAAATAATATTTAGGTGTATCACTGCTACAAAACTACATTGTCTATTAATCCTATGATTAGTTTTTTTAATTTAACACATTAATAAGCATATGACCATATAGCATAATTATTTTTAAATATCTTGATAAGTGTATTTCAGTATAATTTATTTTCCTTGTAATCCTTTACAATTTACTTTATGAATTTATTGATTTTTATACATTTATGATAAAACATTTATTTTTTTCCTTTTATTAATTTAAAAATATTATAAGAAGGAAGCTCTTGGTTTCACCAGACTGAACAGTGTGGCCTCAAAAATTAAGAATTCAGAGATTGTTTTGAGTAACTCAGACAATGGATGGAGCCTTGAACTAGAGCTATGGCAATGAGAAATATGTAAAATCAAGAAAAAGGCAAATTCAGTATGATTTAATGATTAAATAAATGCCATGAACCAAGGAGAAGGTGAAGTCTATGATGACCACCAGATTTTCAATTTGGGTGACTGGTGATATATAGTTCTGGGAGTCTTCAGTGTAGAAGTTGCATTTAAAACCATGAAAGAGGGGATCCCTGGGTGGCGCAGCGGTTTGGCGCCTGCCTTTGGCCCAGGGCGCGATCCTGGAGACCCGGGATCGAATCCCACGTCGGGCTCCCAGTGCATGGAGCCTGCTTCTCCCTCTGCCTGTGTCTCTGCCTCTCTCTCTCTCTCTCTCTCTCTCTATCATAAATAAAAATTAAAAAAAAAGAAAAAAAAAATAAAACCATGAAAGGAGGGATGCCTGGGTGGCTCGGCAGTTAAGTGTCTGCCTTTGGACCAGGGTATGATACTGGAGACCCAGGATCGAGTCCCACATCGGGCTCCCTGCAGGGAGCCTGCTTCTCCCTCTGCTTGTGTCTCTGCCTCTCTGTGTCTTTCTTGAATAAGTAAATAAAATCTTTAAAAAAAAACATGAAAGGAGGGGAGTATGGGTGGCTTAGTTGGTTAAGGGTCTAACTCTTGATCTCAGTTCCGGTACTGATCTCAGGGTCATGAGTTCGGGCCTTGTGTCAGGCTTCATGCTAGATATGGAGCCCACTTAAAACCATGAAAACACCTGTCTTCACCCATGGGGAGAAGTTGAAGAAAAATTCAATCAGGGGGAAACCAATATTCAAAGCCCAGCCAATTCATTATTTTTAGCTATAGTGTCATACAGTATATTTAATGTGTCAGGAAAAAGAACTAGTATGCAAAGAAGAAAACTTCAATAAGCAATTGGTGGTTAATTTGTAAAGGCATTTGTTATGCCTCTACTCTGCATTTATAATTTGTGCACCTGCAATTATTTGCATGCAAAACAAATGTGGCTACAGTTGCCTAATTATAGGCAAAACCATCCCAAATTGTCCACAAATAGCACAAACAGATGCCATCTGTGAAAGTTCAGTGACCGCCCCCCCAGACCTTTCCTGTTCCACATCCTGTAAGGCTTCCCTTTGGCTTCTGTCCTGGGCTTCATTCTTGCCTGGTCTCATTCATGCATTATAGGCTGGTTGCTCTAATAAGCTAAGTCAGTAGGCCTTTCCTCTTATGCAATCATTATGCTTTGCCTCCCCCCGGTCCAAATATAAAATGTACCATAATATGGGCAGACTGAAAATGGGAGCCATTTCTGAAACACATCATTTGTCTTGTTAGTGTGAACAGATTTGATTTTTTATTAAGATGTAATTTTACAAGGTAGGCAACTTGAACGCTATAAAGACGAAATCTCATACAAATTTCTGCTCAAAGGTGACAAGAAAATTATGTTACTCTACATTAAAAAAATTTAGCCATTTATTAAAAACACAGCTGTCAGTTTGGATCAAACATATTCATATTTCCCCATTATATTATTAGGACCATCATGAAATTTAATAATTGTCCCTTGGAGTTTGATTTCTACAAAAGTGTCATAACACAATCAGTACTATTGCAAATAATTATTGAACTGTGTGAAGATAGTTATGATTTCAGGCGGGAAATACATAATAATAGACGAGAAATATAAAACCCAGGTTAATATTTGATGAGGATTCTGTTCTCATACAAATGTCAGTAGTATAAATGTGAGGACCACATAGCCTGCTTTATGAAAACGAAACAGATTCCAGGCAGAATAATTTTCTAAGATTTTAATGATATAGTTCAAATATTACTTGCTTATCATTTAATCATATTAAACACTCTGAACCTGATAAATCATCTGTGATTGAAACAATACACTTTAAGAATGGGAAATAGGTAGTTTATTAGGCTAATGACTAGAGCTAGAATGTAACATATCTCTCCTATGAAATCTGAATTCTCTATGTATAGTGTTTGGAATGGTATAAAGTATTACCATGAAGGCTTCAGGGGCAAATGGAGGCTTAGGAATTTTAAAAGGTTAACCAGTTTGTTTGTTTGTTTGTTTGTTTTAATTTAAAATATTATAGGGAATAAGATGGTTTATTTTTGTCCTATCACCTGTTTCTCAGTGGTACATGGGTCACAGAGAATTGAAGCAGTAGTTAGATACCAGCTTTAAGTTTATGGACAATGGGCACATGTTTAAACATTCAGATATTGTAATGCTTAGACATTAGAAAAATAGTAAAGTATTTAATATTTAGCAAAAGAAATCATGTTAAGAAAATGAGAACTTATAAAAGGAAAGCTATCATTTCCAAAAGAGAGTTAATCAGAAGTAAAAGATTATTGTTATATATAACCAAAATATTTCAATGGATGCATCAAAATTCAAAATATTATTAATGCAATGATAAACATAAGCTGCTTGTATTCACAAGAAGTAGAAGAACATTTTGAGACATTAAAAAAGATAATGTTACTCACATCCTGAGCTACCATTTGTTGATACCAGAGTCAAGTTGGAAGGCCATGGATTCCGAACAATATCTTGCCAATGAATTGTGTCTGTGTAACAGAGAAATTTGTTCTGGTCTACATATACTCCACCATTAAGGATTTCTGTATTAAAACAAACAGAGATTCCTTGTCAATTTTTTTGTTGATGAAAAGGTAGTCAATAAAAATGATTTATTCCTAAACTATTTTCATTGTTACATTGGAGTTACATTGTTAATAGCCAAGACATTTTTTAAAATATCAGTTACTTAGTCATATAAATTGATTGCAGAAATTGGAAAAGATTGAAAAATACAAAGGAAACAACCATTCATAATATAATACATAATATAATACATAATATAAATACTCAGAAAAACACTCTTCACATTTTGGTATAGATGTTGTCTTTAAGTGTCTAATCGTAATTAATATTATTCTACATTATTTCTAATGAGACTATGCTATGCCAGAGTATAAATTAAATGATATTTATTTAACCAATTTCCTTTTATTGGTACATTTAATTTGTTTATCTCTCTTAAGAAAAATTCTTTGTCAACGTAACATTGACTGAAGTCAATAGGAATTAAAACAAAATGAAAGCTAAAATTAATGTTACAATTACAAAAAAAAATGTTCTTTGATCCACTCAAATGGAGTCAATAGAATTGTCAATGATTCTTTAAGAACAACACAAAGCAAGACATAATAAAAACCTTATGGTTCACTGGAACAGTGGCAGGACCATGGGATAAAATGCACTAAAGCCATTTTTTACTTGATTCTTTATTCCACACTGACCTTGATCAGCTAACTTGTTTCCCCTGAACAATGGCTAATCTTACATGTAAATTCTTTCAGATTGCTTTAAATTATCCAGAAAAAAAAGTAGATATTCCCTCTGAAATACTGGTTTTGAAAATACTATTCTTTCTACTTGCAGAAATTGGTTAGAAATACACATAGTATCTTCCTGCTTAATAACTACCACATTTTCCATTCTATTCAATGCAAAAACAACTTAAGAGAAATTATATTTCAGTCCATAAAACACTGTTACAAGTAACAAAAAATAGTTAACAATAATTTATATAGATAGGGGATGATTTTTCTCATATAAGAACCCCACAGGAGGTAGTGGTGTCCACAGTACCCACATCTGTTTTGCGTTGATTTTATTCATTTCAGGCACAAGAAAGTTGATATATCTAAAAGCATCTGTCTGAATTCAAGGAAAGATGAAAACAGAAGAGCAAGCAAGAGACATCCTCTTACTGAGACTCTGACTTTCTATTTGGGAAGAGATGTTCTCCCCCAAGAATTATTTCTGTATTTTATTGGCCAAAATGATATCCCATGAGCATTCCTACTACAAGAGAAGCTCAGTGGACATACAGCTATTTGGACAAAACCTAAACAAGCAGGATCGTTAGTGAGGAAGAGGAAGAACATGAATAATGGGAAGGCAACTATTCTATTTCCCATGGTGGCCTTGAAAAAATTATCTCTTTCTTGTGTAGTGTCTCAAGCTCAACTTTTAAGAGTCACTTTAAACCAAGGAGGGAGATTAAAGAATAAAAGGGACCATAAAAGGAGTATTCGTGGAAGTGACATAGGTGGGCACATCTCAATTGCCTTATTGCATTATATGTATAAAATACATCAGATAAATTTTAACATCGCAGGGCACATTTAAAATCACTCCTGTTCTCACCATCAATCCTTTCACAGACTATTGGTTACATTTTCTCAGGGAGGAAAAAAAAAGAAACAAAAAGGAATTAGATCATCTTTCTATTTCTAAAACCCAGTTCATTATTTTTCATGACCTAACCATGCAATCTTCATCAAAGCAGAAGGGAGGTATAAGACGTAAGAAAGATTGTGAAAATGGATTTCTACATTAATGTTTGGCATCAAAGTTTCTATCTATGAAATGTGACGATCTGATACTAATAGCTTTCTCATGAGACATTAGGTGATGCTCTTCTGCTCTAGGAATAATTCTTCATTAGGTGGCAAGAAAGGAGATTTTGACTGCTATCCAGGAAATGAAGGTTATTTTTCAGTCTACATTTGGAAAAGCCCTACCTTAAAAAAAATGTTAAGGGAAAATATAACAGCTCAAATATTGTAGAAAGAGTGTATTTTTCAGGATTCACATAATAATTCAAATAGTTCATGTTGAAAGAACACAGTATCCATCTCTACTTCCTATCTAAAAATATTCAGATGGAATCAGATTATATTATACTGAATAATAATCTCATCAAATCCCTTCAACAATATTAATCTACTACCAATGTTGACATTTGTTTCTCAGAAATTTTCTGTTCAAGAGCTTGGTTTATACTTGGAAAAGGATTTAGAAAAGAGACAGTAATAATTCAAATATAATCTTAAATGTTAAAATTTCAAACTAAGAAAGACTACAATCATGATCAGTTTGGATAACACCCTAAATTCAAAACCCAGCATCTGCTAGCAATTCTGGTCAGGAAGATTTATAAACTTCTAGTACTTAATGATGGCTTTATAAAGCACATTTTGTCTATTTATGCGTGTGTGTATTTTTCCTGAAAATAGTCTTTTCCCTTATGTTTGGCTTAGGCTGTATTGTGTTGGTGAATGTCAAAACGCTACAATCAGAAAATGCATTTTATTGACATTTATAGGAGAGTTTTAATGAATACTTTATCTTAAATTTTCTTTTGATCAATTTGGTTACTTAAATATTGTTCAGGAAATGTTAATATTGTATTTATTCATTAGTATAGTTCATATTGATTTCATAACTTTATGCATTTTTTTTTTTAGAGAGAGAGTGCACGGCATGGGGTGGGGGGTGGTTAGGGAGGCAGAGGGAGGCAGAGGGAGAGAGAGAAAACATTCTAAATAGGCTCCATGCCCAGTGCAGAGCAACGTGGGACTCATTCTCAGGATCCTAAGATCATGATCTAAATAGAAACCAAGAGTTGGATGCCTACCTGAGCCACCCAGATGCCCCTATACAAATTACTAAACATTAATTTAATATGCTTTTGTGTTGAAATATTTAGATTTATTTCTGAACTAAGAAAAGTCTAGGGAAATATACCAACCTGTAAGAAAGTTGTTACAGACACAGATTATTTACTGGACAAAAGGGATCTCTAATGTTTTTGACTATAAAGTATTAGCTGCATTTTTAGTTTAGAAAGAAGAACAAGAAAAAAAAATAAAAATAGAAAGAAGAACAAGGATTAGAGAAAGAGAAATGTTTGGTAAGATATTTACCCAAGAAGATACCAGGAAAATGTCTGGTCATACTTTAGATCTATCTTTGCCAACAACCAAGAACAGCAGTGTTGTCACAAATTCTATTAAAGACTTATTGGAGGGTACCATCTGTGTTACACCAACAGAGTTTCCCTTCCATTAGAATGAAATAAAGTGATTAATAATTCAATTTTCAAACCATAACAAAAAAAAGGATTTCTAATTCTAAGTAATATAGAAAATGAATACAAATGTAAATGACATTCGAATAAAGATGCACAAAGCCTGGAAAAGTGAAAAGACTGAAAAGACTTATATAATAAGTAAATGATCTTAGGGTAGTCCCATCCATTGTATTTCACTTCCACTGTAGGAAATGTATCAGAGAAAATTAAGAGAAACACAAATAGAGTCTTGATTATTGTAATAATTGGTAGGAAAAAAAACTGCTATGGGGAACCCTGGGTGGCTCAGCAGTTTGGTGCCTGCCTTTGGCCCAGAGCATGGAGTACTGGGATCGAGTCCCACATTGGGCTCCCTTCCCAGAGCCTGCTACTCCTCTGCCTGTGTCTCTGACTCTCTCTCTCTCTCTGTGTATGTATCTCATGAATAAATAAATAAAATCTAAAATAAAGAAAAAATACTAAGAATTTTATTTTATATAAAAATATTTCCATAAAACAGAACTATGTCTTTTTAATAAATGTCACATTTAAATATAGTAAGACATATGAAGTATGATATTCTATGAAAAAAGTACTTATTTAAAAAGTCTCTAAACACTTAAACAGATTTGTGTATCAAACACTTCCTACTAGACTAATGCATGCAAGTCAAGTAAAAAAATATGAATCTTTTTGTATGTAGAGTAAGTAAATTGTAATCCACACTACTCTCCCATATGTTGAATTTAACATACACAGCACAATTTATAACTGAAATATTAGATTAAACTCTATGAAGGCAAGGAATATTTTTCAGTTCTGTATCTATCAAACTTGAAGCAATAGCTAATCAACAAATATTTGTTAAATCAAACTTAAAACACAAAAGTAACATGGAATTTGCCACCAACATTGATCAATTAACTTGTTATAGCTCTTAATTTTAAATTATATTCTGACCAAATCAAAGTAAAAATGAAAGTTATCTTTTTCCTTAAACACTTTATAGATTATCTGAACTGGTTGTACATTTAATTATGTCAGAGGTCATTTTTGTTTTAGTTAAAACTATATCTCCAGTTATGTAAGGCAGAAGCCAGATACATAATAAATATTTGCTCCATGAAGTCAAATATAATAGCTTGATTATAGAAAAACATATTTGAGTAGATCAATAAATAAATATATCTTGAGTATAGGAAAAAAATTAAAAATTGATTTTGAGGTAGAGTTTTTATAAGCAGAAAGATAAATAGCTTTTATTACATAGAATGCTTATAATTGATAATGTACAAAATTACTGTAAGCAGTGTGTTGGATATTTATAAGTCACATTTAGACATTTTCATTGGTATCCCTAAACCTATCTTGTACATCAAATTCAATTATTACATATCAAGTAAATAATGATGATTTTGAGCTATCCTGGACACATCAGATTTCCTCATGCAAATCATCTAGCATATGTCACACAAGGTCTAAGAGCATGTTTTTATATTGAATTGTAAATCTACCTCATATCGTTCCTTAAATTATTTTCTAGAAAGGTGTAAAGTGCCAATATGACATTTTAAAGAGGACATAAAGTACTTGTGTCTTAGCCTTCCAATCCACAAAAATTGTCCATTTGACCATTTCTTCTCTTGATTTCCCATTTGCATGAGTCTAATGAAGAAGGAAATGTTTGTGTTATTTAAA